AAAATGACGGTGAAACGAAACATCGAGTCGTGGGTCACGATCGACGGCGAAGTGACGAATGTATCGTATTTCGGGCAGCTACAAACATACCGACACTGCCGCGAATACATGCACATCGGGGCTACTTGCGTGCAAAATAAAAAAAACTGCTCGTGCAAAAATCATACGCCGATGCCGCAAAGCAGACGCCGTCGCAAAAAACGAGTCCAGTCGACTATAGTGCGAACCAAACCAACACAAACTCAAACCAAGCCGCTCCCATTGCGAACCTAACTAAAACGACCTCGAACCAAGCTTCCCGGCCTCGGTTCGAACCAATCTCGGCCAAAACTGTTACCATGCCACCACCGAAACAAATTCCCCAACGTCAACAACAGAAGCTGTTACCACCAGTTCTGACCGAACAGAATTTCCCCACGTTAGCCCCTACCTCGGCTTCGATTCCCCCATCGGACAGCGGGTCGTTGACTCCCTATACAAGTCAACAACCCCCCGCTAGCGGCCGAGTGGATCGCAAAACTGCTAGTGGTAAGTCCGATGGAAACGAAACAGATTCGTCTGTAGGGTCATCCAGCTCCAGAAGACACCTCCGCACTCGACCACCAGGCAAGAAGCCTCGCGTGGATGACGACTGCGACGACAAGCGAGATGGGAGTAACCAACCGTCCTAATGGCTGAGTTCTCCAGTTACAACCTCGCCACCATCAACATCAACAATATTACGAACGCAACGAAGATTGACGCTCTTCGAACCTTTGTACGAACACTGGAACTGGATATCGTTTTCCTCCAGGAGGTGGAGAATGAGCAACTCTCTATCCCTGGCTTCAACGTTATCTGCAATGTGGACCAAGCAAGGCGGGGAACGGCAATCGCGCTGAAAGACCACATACAATTCTCGCATGTGGAGAAGAGCCTGGATGGTCGTCTCATCGCTTTGGGGGTGCAAAACACGACGCTCTGCAACGTATATGCGCCATCGGGGACAGTTGTTCGTGCGGAAAGAGAAAGATTTTTCAACGGCACGATCGCGTACTACCTTCGGTACAACACTCAAAACGTCATCCTCGCTGGAGATTTTAACTGCGTGCTACGTCCGAGCGACTCAACGAGTTCCAACACAAGCCCGGCTCTCCAAGCGACCGTACGGCAGCTACAGCTTCACGATCTGTGGCTGAAATTGTACCCCACAACCCCCGCACCCACGTACATCACACACAATGCGGCATCCAGGCTCGACCGCATGTATGTCAGCGCTGGGCTTTGCGAGCATCTGCGGAGTGCTGCTACGCACGTATGCTTATTCACGGATCACAAAGCGCTAACAGCGCGCATTTGCCTTCCCCACCTTGGACGCGAACAAGGACGCGGTTACTGGTCCCTCCGCCCTCACCTCTTAACCGCCGAGAACTTAGAGGAATTCCAAGTGCGATGGCAGTTTTGGACCCGCCAACGGAGAAATTTCCCCAGCTGGATGACATGGTGGCTCTCATGCGCGAAGCCAAAAATAAAATCTTTTTTCCGATGGAAGTCAAGTGAAGTTTTCAGGACTTTCAACGCAGAACAACAACGACTCTACGAGCAATTACGACTCGCATATGATGGCTATTACCAGAATCCCACCATGCTGGTGACCATCAACCGCGTAAAAGCACAAATGCTCACGTTGCAGCGGCAATTTGCGCAAAACTTCATCCGCATCAACGAGACGTTTATAGTATAGTCGCTATATATATATAATATAGCGACTATAGTTTATAGCCGGCGAGAGCATATCCACTTTCCAGTTGGGTGATAGACGACGTAAAAAAACAACCATAACAGGACTGCAGAACGAACGAGGAGAGCAAATACAAGGCTCTCTGGAGATCGAGCAACACATGTTTCGATACTTCAGGGACCTGTATGCGGCGGAAGAGACGAGGCAGGTGGGGGAAGAAAGTTCGAAACTGAGAGAGCCGTACCCGAGAACGACGAAGCCAACGCAGCTCTAATGGTAGAGATCAGCATTGACGAGTTGAAAAACTCCATCCGAACGTCGCAAAAACGTAAATCACCGGGGATCGATGGTTTGCTGGTAGAGTTCTACCTACGAACTTTCGACGTCATCTATCGAGAGCTCTACTTCGTTATTAATGAAGCTATGACGAATGAGCTCCCATCTGAATTCGCCGATGGCACTATTGTGTTGGTTAAAAAGCGAGGTGGGGATGGGACAGCAAGAGCATACCGTCCGATCAGCCTGCTCAACGTCGATTTTAAAATCCTCTCCCGCGTGATGAAGGCCCGCCTGGAACGAGTACTGCGGATCCATCGAGTCCTGAGCGCCTCTCAAAAATGCGCAAATACCGACCGTTCTATTTTCCAAGCTACACTCTCGCTCAAAGATCGTATTGCGCAGCTAATCGCGAGGAAGCAGAAGGGGAAGTTGATCTCGTTCGATCTTGACCACGCGTTCGATCGGGTCTCTCATGAGTTCCTGCATCGGACCTTGCTCTCTCTGGGCTTCGACCAGAGTTTCGTCTGTTGGCTCTCTCGAGTCGCTGCTGCCTCTTCATCACGGCTGCTAGTGAATGGGTGCCTCTCAGAGCCGTTCCGTATAGAACGGTCCGTACGTCAGGGAGACCCGATGTCGATGCTGCTGTTCGTGCTCTATCTTCATCCCCTCCTCACACGGGTGGAGCGTGTATGCGCTTGTGACCTTTGTATTGCGTATGCTGATGACATCACGGTGATTGCCACCTCAAAACACACGATCGACCGTATTTATCAGCTGTTTGGTAGCTTCGAGATCGTATCCGGGGCAAAGCTAAATCGACTGAAAACAGTGGCGATCGATGTTGGTTTTATCAATGGAGATCCACTGACGATACCAGGGCTGCAGACAAAGGAGAATGTCAAGGTACTGGGCGTTATTTTCACCAACTCAATGCGACTGATGGTTAAACTAAACTGGGACGCTTTAGTATCGAGGATCTCGCAACTCATATGGTTGCATAACATGCGCTCCCTTTCCCTGCAGCAGAAAGTGCTACTGCTGAACATCTTCATTACAGCGAAGGTGTGGTACCTCTCGTCTGTTATTCCACCGCAATGTGCTCACACGGCGAAGCTGACATCAACGATGGGGACTTTCCTTTTTCGTGGGCTACCCGCACGAGTCCCAATGCAGCAGTTGGCGCGCAGCAGAGAGCAGGGTGGTTTAAAACTGCAACTGCCGGCGATCAAATGCAAAGCACTTCTAGTCAATCGTCACCTGCAGGAGATCGTTTTCCTTCCCTATTATCAGTCCCTTCTCACCCAAAATATTCCTCCCCCCGCCGATCTTCCTTGCTTAAAACTTCTCTCACAGCAAATTCCCTTATTTCCACACCACATCCAACAAAACCCCTCCAGCGATCAAATCCATCGTTTCTACTTGGAACAAACTGAGCTACCCAGAGTGGAACGAAACCATCCAGGCATCAATTGGAAAAAGATCTGGCTGAACATATCATCGAGAAGGCTATCGTCGAGCCAGCGTACTGATCTCTACCTGCTAGTGAACGAGAAGACGGAGCACCGTAGACTGATGAACGTCATCGGCCGTGCAAACGACCCAAACTGTCAGCACTGTGCGGTAGGAATCGAGACTTTGCAACATAAGTTTTGCGAATGCCCTCGAGTTGCTGCAGCTTGGGCACACATCCAGCGAAAATTGACGACGACGCTCGGCGGCTGGCAGAGGCTGAGCTTCGACGATCTTGTACGGCCAATCTTGGGTAACATGACAACAGCGAGAAGAAATCAAATTTTAAAAACGTTCATTAAGTACATCAACTTTGTCAATGTGAATATTAATAATAGAATAGATGTAGGCGAGCTAGATTTCATTTTGACTCTAGAAGATTGATATATTTTTTAAATATCTTGAATATGTTATTTAAGACCTAAATAAACAATATTTTACAAAAAAAAAAAAATCTCAAGTGATGTCTAACAGAAAACCGTTTTTAAAATTTTCATTTACTCACTAGGCTACTTTCACCTTAAAAGAAGGAAGATTGTCAACGAATTGTGTATTGAATTCAGATTTCTCAGTCGTCATTTTAAGCCAGAAACTTAGAAGTCTCCCAAAGTTCAGAATTACAGGAAATTTAGAAAGAACTGCTCATGTTTAAGGAATAAGGAAAATTCTCCCAGGTTTTAATTAAGATCCAATCCTGGAGTCAATGCTAAAAAGTACCTACTTTCAGTCATCAAACAATCCGCCAAAAGTGATGCCACGAAACAGGTTATTCCGCCAAATGGAACTCCACGAATTGTCGTACATCGGTACATCCGTTGACCTATCTCAGCAGCCTCTCATCAGGAGTTATCAGATGAACCAATGAATCGTCGGAAATATTGGTGGAATGGGCCTACTGTGTTCCCTGACTTATAACGAATATAAGTTGTATACGAGTACCCCGAATACAACGTATAGTTCGACTAATTTTACATTGCAAATTCTGTGCAAAATTAGACGAGTCATTCGTTGAAAATATTCGGGGTACTCGTTTACAACGTATATTCGTTATAAGTCAGGTAACAGAGTAGGCTAATTCTTTAAAATTCTGGTTAGTTTCCAGAAAGGTTTTGCATAATCTGGACGAGAGCGGATCTTAATAGCAAAGTCATTGTTTCTGAGCTCGACCATCCTTACCCGACTGATTAGACGGTTACAATTGGTCTTTAAGTTGGCACTGCCTTCAAATGGAGTTACGGAGTCAAATAACGACTTTGGTAGATCTATCAAGGTTCAGAGTATTGTTCACCTGTCTGGATACTGGCCAGGCATATCGCCTGCTACATGAAATGTAGACACCGATCGATTTCTCCGGAAGTCGTTTACTTGCTGATGCGATGATGTAGTCGTCGCTTATTGGTGGTCTTCGTTCTTCGCTGCTCGTTGGTTAGGGGGTTAACAATTAACTACGCCGGATGGGCTTGTCCTTTAGCTCAGTGAAACTGCATTCGACTATCATTAATTAAAATTTTATTTCTTTTCAAAAAGATCAAATGTACAATAATATCCACTTGCCTTTGCTACAATGTTTTCATACATCTTTTTTGCCACTACTTGTAGAGTTCTCGCTATCAATATATATAAATATTGTTGTATGTTTTAAAAATTACTTCATAATGCTTTTGCTTTCATTGTTTTTTGTAATTTTCTCTTATGTCCGGAGAGCTTTTCTGATTCTTTGTCGTGTTTTCATGAAATCAACCAACGTTTCACGTTCGGAAACAATTTTGTGAGTTCTACTTTTTGATTTGAAAATAGTTGTTTTCACCAGTGTTTCGCCTTCCAATGCTTTTGTATATGTTTGTGTAAGGTGTGTGGATGTTTGAAACAAACATAGATGTTGTTCTTCTTTTCAGTTTTCGATAGATGATAAATTAAAACTTTTCTTATCGCTAGAGACCCTATGATTATATAAAAACATGTGTACACTTTTGTCGATTTGTTTTCATTTACTTCAAATTCTTACTTATAAACTTCACTGCGAGGAAGTTATACCCTCATTGCCTAAATTGTATGCCCAATTGTTTGGGATTTTGCTCTCTGTACAAAATTCCACTGATTTTTTTCGACAGCGTTATGTTCGTAATCACAATCAATTAATGCCTAAAGTGTGAATTTTGTCCCGAATCTAGCATTCGGTGGATGTGCGTGAAACAAAATCAACTGACGCCGACAATTTAATATTCGTATGAGATTTTCCGCATTTACACAACCGAAAACGTTCGAAAAACTGACAACAGCATGCCAGGCAACAGTTTTAAGCTGCAATTAACTAATAATGCCTGGATTTCCTACTCGACCCACCATTACTGAATACCTATACTTGTATGCACTCGACATCTGCTAGGGATGTGTGTTTAATGTGTATTTCGCTTAACTACAACTGTTTTCAAACCACTATGATGCCTTACTTTCACTACTATGTACAGCAAATTTACAAAAAGTTGTTTTGTTTGTGTTTGCTTATGCTTACTTTTCTCAACATTGTACACTGTTAAATCAACGCGCGCAATCATACCGACGGGTGCGATTCCAATGAAAGCGTGCCTTGCCTTTTTTACTAAAGATGAAATCTGTATACTAACTGCGCTTACATTTAGGTACCAGAGAGTGATGCGATATCGGAAAACAAATCGAAAGGATGTTTGTGTCGAATCGCGAAAAAAAAAACATTGTTAAAGGATTCCCATTGAGATCTAGCGTTTAGAAAGCTTAACTAAGGTTATACCCATTTATTTTCGCCAAAATCGAAGTTGTATCCGAAATCTATCGGTTGACAATTATACAGGGATAAACTCTTGGTAAGTAAGTTAGGAAATTGCAACTCTCCATTGGAACGCGCACTCGTTCGCCTGAAAAGAAACATTCTTTTATTCCTCACCTATAAAGTCTGATAACACGGAAACGAAAATAACAAATCAATAAAATATGCAGATTTGCCTTATTAAATCATTATATTAATAATAGCAATCCTCTATATTTTCCGTCGTTTTAAAAACTTAACAACTTGCCACCAGAATTCCTGTGTAATATTTTGTTTTACCATTTTCTTAAACAAGTTTAATCCTTAACGCCTATCAATAAAGCAATGCTCTCAAACTGAATACGTATTAGAGAAATAATAACTATAAGTAGTAGGACACACGCTACAATTGTTTATCAGTTTGTAAAAAAAAACCTAAACCAGTTGTAGAAATATACTCAACACTATTCCTAGTAACAAGATATTCTCTGTGTCTGCTTTTCCTATGAAGGTTGAAATTTTTAGTAAAATCCGTTCAAAAAAAAAAAGCAAAAAGAAAGTGTTCAAGCCAACCGTGTGCTTTCTCCTTCATAGTTTGATCGATGCTGGTAGGTGACCCTGCATCGTTGGCGAGGAATTCACTGTCTGCATCTCAGTGTAATATATGGCCTGCTCATAATGAGTGCTGCGCTGCAATCTGCGACAAATTTCCTAATATGAATCCATAAACCGCCCCCTTCTTAGGGCGTCGGTTTCGTTTTACCCTTGACCGTGCCCGATCCTGACGTGCTTCCGGTACTTTTGACTGACTCTTCCGCAGCGACAAACTGCCCCTCTGCCAGTGCCTGCTCGTACGACAACGTTCGAGTGTGCTTGTTGCCATCGGCATCGATCTCCATCATTTCGAACATAATGTTGTTGCTACTGCTTCCGCTGCCACCCACCGCCGGGACCATTGTTGTTCTGGAGAGAACCTCGCTGGATGCCCCATCGCCGTCGGCGTCCGCCTCGATGTATTGTTCGAAATTCATACTAGATGGGTCTACACCGGTGTTGCCGGCTTTGCCATACACGATGGCACCTTCCTGTACTAGCACCGGGCTACCACTCTCTGCCCCTTCCAAATCGGCAATCAGCGCTCGCGATGTGTCTGTAATGGGAATGGAAATTTGACTTATTAATCGGTATACCTTGTTGGTAAAACCATGGCGAACGAACATTTCTTAACCTTAACTATGAACATCAACTATGTACTTTGGGAAGGTCCATTAATTATGTCAAGTAAATTAGGCCCATTTTCAACCCCAAATAAATCACATTTCCAATGGCAAATATCCATTAGAATTTCACATAACTTTCATGTGATCTCATGATTGAGAATTGCACTACAAAATCACATGAACCTTATGTGTCCAATGAAATTCAAGTGAATTTATGTGATCATATGAATGTTATGTGAACTTAAATACATAAATTCAGCAATCGACTAAATTTTCAATAGCAACCAAAAACATCCATTAGTACCGTCCCAATGACGCGTTCATCTAGATACAATTGATAAATAGCAGATTTTTAGCGATGGGTCCAATCTTAAATCCATTGGCCAACAGTAGAGCCATTTCCCCTATCAAACTATAAAAAAACTTTTTTCGGTGTAGGCTAGTCCAGTGCGAGCCAATTTAAAATCGTTAGTGTCCTCCGGTTGGTAAAATGACCATTATGCCAAATGGGGTAAAGCTGCTAGGAATGGTCCCTTTTTACTAACGAACACCTAACTTACCCCATTGATATCACACAAGAAAGAAAAAAAAAAGCACTCACCGTAGCCGACGCTAACGATCTCGACCCGTTCGCCGTGGATCTCCTGCTCGTTGAATGCCTCGTCTGGATCGGGATCTTCTTCGATGACCTCGTTGAAGTGCTCCTCATCGATGATCATCTCCTCCTCGATCGCCTCCGGACAGTCTTCCTCTTCTTCCACTTCGGGATCCTCCTCGGCGTCGGCCGAATCCGTAGCCGAGGTGTCATCGCTTCGCTCGTTCGGAGGCGATGTCGTTATCAGCGGAGGATGTGGTGGTGCGGCTTTCGATGTTGGTGTCACGGTATTTGTCGGTGTCGTCGGGACTGTTGGTGCTGGGGCCACAGGCCGATGAATAGGGAGCCTCGTCGTATCACTGGGAACGGGGGTTTCTACAACCGGGGTCGATGTCGAACTGATGGAACTGGATGATAGGGGTTGCGATGTTTTTCGGACAGTACTGTTGGGAGCGGTAACGACTGGTTTGGGAGCTATTGCTACCGGCTGTGCCGCAGGATTGGATTTGGAGGCAGGTTTTTGAACAGTACTAGGGATAACGTTGTTTGATTTACGGTTGTGAACTTGATTTGCTTGGTCCAGTTCGAGTTCCCAATCGGTTGAGCTCATCGTGGAGGATCTCGTTTTGGCGGGATCAACTGCAGCCGTAGTGGAACTAGCTGCAGCCGCAGTGGGTTTTGTTTTTGTTTTGCTATTTTGTACGGTGGCGGCGCTCGTGGAGGCTGCAGCTTTTCCCTGATGGTTCGCCTTGGTCTTTTTAGTGACCGTGACAGAAGGTCCCGGTGCAGTGCTGTCCGCTTCAAATTTTGTTGCTTTTGTAACATTTGCACTGTTGTTTGAATGGTACTTAGAGATAGCTACTTGGGGAGTTGATTGCGATTGCTGGGGTTTCACCATTTTTTCTGTCAACGGCGATGCGATTGAGCCCGATGCCGAGGAGGAAGCTGGTGAGAGGAAACCTTTGGAGAGTTCCTGAAGCTTGACTGCTCCCGTGACTACATCCAGAGGCGTTGAAACAATGTCGACCGGAGTATCCTCAGTTATAACGGGTTTATTCGCAGGAGGAGGTTTTTGTTGCAGGGTGGTTTTGAGCTTTTGATCTGACGCTATGTCGAAGACTACAATGTTATTCAGATCTGGTTGCTGTTGGACGATCACTTTGGGGGGACTTAATATGTTAGCAGCAGACAGAGCATTGGTATCAACAACGCTCTTCGGGATGGTGATTTTCTGTCCAGGATTCAGAGTGCCGCTGGTTGCACTTTTAACGGGTAAAACTATGACATTGTTTTTAGCTCCGGGCGGCCCAATCGGCATCAGTTGAAGTTTGTGTACGGATAGCTTGCTGCCACTTTTCACCGGTGTAAATCCCGCTAGGTTGGGTCCCTTCAATGTAACCACCTTGTTAGTGACCGGAGTAACAGGCGTAGTGATCGGTTTGGATATTGGCACACTCAATGCCATCGTGTTCGTAATTAGTGTTGGCGGATTGGGAGCGATGTGGGTGGTCAGAGATGCATGCTGTGACGTTGGAGGGATAATCGTTACTCCACCCGATGTCGATGTTTGAATTATCGTATTCGGCGGATGCAACGTGATTTGATCTAAAATGGTAATCTGGTTTCCTGGTGTTATATGGCTAGTCGACTCGTGGTGGGAAATTGGAGCCGATGTTGAGAATATAATTTTCGGGTTCGGAATATCAGCCGGATTTATGATAGGATCGTTTTCACGAAATTTACCAGTTGTGTCCTTCCGATGGATTGATTTCGGGATCCCTAAACTGGCTAGGGTAGCTGCTGCCGAAGAAGTAGGGATCAGCACATTTTTCGAAGGGGATTTCTTTTGATAGTTCAAAAGAGGGTGACCCTTTCCTGGCATTAACGAAGGGCTTGATGATTTCAGTTGTATGTTGACATTGTTCTTGACCGGTATGTTGTTGGTAGGGTTCAGTTTGGTGAGATTGTACTGGATGTCCTTCTTAGATGACGGGAGTATTTGATTCTGTTGACCGTACACGGCATTAGCTGGCAAGTTGGCATTGGGTTGACCGTGTGGTTGTTGAACGTTGTACGATCCGATAAGTGGTTGATGTGGAGCTCCAGGCATCACGCCGTACGACTGCTGCTGCTGCTGAGCAGAGTGTTGCGTTTGATAGACAATATTCGAAGTAAGGTGCTTCTGCAGTTGCAACGGTTCTTGGATAGCTTCTGTGCCACCACTTTGTTGTTGAGGAATTTCGTATGGAAGCAGTGGACTCGCGTACGAGTGGATGAGGTGCGGACTGCCCACGCTGTTTCCTTTAGCACCACCAGTCACCTTGGCTTGAATCGGCACCGGTTGCTGCAGTTGTTGTTGGGTCATGTTCTTGGCAGCCTTCGCCGATTGTTTGCTTGTCTGATATGGAGTTTTTGTTTTGTTTTGATTCTTCTTAGATGAACCAGATGTTTTACGTTGTCGTTCGGTGCTCTTATTGCTTCCTTTTGGGGGTTTAGCATTGACATTATTGTTGTTGTTGTTATTGTTGTTGTTAATGGGAACTGGTCCAAAGTTGTTAGGGGACAAAAGGGCTTTATGCGGGGATAAAGGTTGTTGCGGAAGGGGAAATTGGAGTTGCACTTGCTGCTGCACCTGCACCGGCGGAGTGTAAGGCTGCGTATGGAAAGTAACAATAGGAGGTGGATGATATGAGGGTTCCTGCTTCTGAAGTTCTTGATACAACTGGGGTTTCTTTTTTAACGGGGAGTCATCCTCGATGAAATTTACTATACTGGGAGTAGTCGGGCTCGGATCAACCGGGTACGACCTTTTCAAATCGTTATTTATATAACTCTTGTTAGCTGCTTCCACAAACTGAAAAAAATACAAACAAAACAAACAGATTGTTAGGATCAGGGAAAGTGTGGCAATTGAAAGAAGTTATTACCGGATCCATCGAGACCACCAACGGTGGAGGTGTTAGTTTGGCTGGTTCCGGCGTGGGTATTGGAGAAGCAACCGTTGGTTCCGCTTCTGGCTTCAGCGGTGTTTGCGCCATCTGCTGGTCTTGTTGTTTTTGCTGTTCTAGCACTTTACGCTTTTCTTCTTCCTGCTCCTTCTCGAGCCTATGTTGAGACGTTTCAAAGGGATGTGGTAGTTTGGCATTCTCCCTGGAGATCTGTTCGCAAACGGTGTTGGCTATATAGGTCAAGGCTGTATAGGGAGCCGTTCGGGGAAGAATAGGGAAGCTTCGGCGACCTTCGCGACACCAGTCCTGAACGCTGTTTGGTCCAGATATTCTGAAAATGGCAAATGAGTCTCTATGAGTTATTTTGACTGGACGAGAGACGATGTTCGGTTAACAGTCTGATTACAGTAACGATTTGCTTAGTAAACGACTGGGCAATGCCTACAGTTGGTGTTGGTAATACGCTGATCATATAACGCTACCCCGAATGTTCGTTTAATCATGAAAAAATGCGAAACAAGCAGGCCGTCTCCCATTTTATATATGCAGGGTGTCCATTCAAATCCCATTTTTCAATTCCCGGTTTTTTCCCGGTTATTAAAACAGAAGGCCGAACCACAAAAGGCCGAAAACACAAAAGGCCGAAATACACAAAAGGCCGAATCACAAAAGGCCGAATCACAAAAGGCCGAAAAAACTCAACGAGGTGACTCAGTTGTAAGAGCAGAAAGGCTTTAGATGCTGAATGAGAGAGAAAGTGATAGTTAGCTTTATTTTTCCGGATGTTTGAGTATTCAATGAGGTGGCTTCGTTCAAGATGAAATTCAATATGGGAGGTATTCTCAAATCGAAAATCGTCATTAGCAGCGATATGGCTCTTGGTAAGTTTTGCTGAACGTTCTAGCACAGACAAACAGACGTAACTCTTTGAAAAACTTGTTCTTGAAAACATAGTATCTCAAAACATATAACCTCAGTAACGACATCTCTCTGGCTTCTCGCGAAAGACAAGCTTGCTCGCTAACTCGTAAACAATATTGCATAAAAGTTCTATAGAATATATAGAAAGTCAAAGTGATCCGATGCCAGCGCTGCGGCGAGTAGTTCGCGGAACTGATAATATTCAAATCAACCGTTAAATGCATGAACGAAGATACATAATGAAGAGTTACGTCTGTTTGTCTGTGGTTCTAGTTACTTAATTTTAACTGCTTGCACAACGTGCCACCCAATAAGAATGTTGCGTATGCGTAAATAAACCGTTCACCTCTGTCGCATCTCTTATTCTCTTACCAGCAGCTTACCACTTACTGGTTTTTCACAAAAAGTCAGCAAGTGAGAACACCTCTATATCTATTTTCATCTTGGCTTCATTTTTTGTGAATGCGAACTAAGCCTGGTACGCAGCTGAAAAGTAATGACGTTTTTACGTGCTACGGGATAGGACACGGAATGCTAAAGAAATTATTTTCCTTTAGCATTTCTTGACCCAGTACGCAGTTCAAAAGAAATCGGTAAAGGAAAGATCGATTATATTAGTATCGTGATCGATATGAAGGTTCCGCATTCTGAATGCAATTTCATTTTCCTTGCGGAATAATGGTCTGACCAATTATTCCGTTAGGTAATTTTAACGTTTGTTGTAAAAATGATGTTTTGGATGCATTTTAACAACATAAAAATTGATAATTGTTGATTTTAAAATTAGACGACACCTACCTATGATCTCAAAATTTAGCAAAAGACACCTCCCTATAGCTGTCAAATTTACTTTTGGGAATATTCCTCAAAAATTACTTTTCCGTTTTCTTTTCAGCTGCGTACCAGGCAGGCTTAACGAGCCGAGTCAGTTGTGCGAGCAGAAAAGCTACAGAATCTGAATGAGAGAAAAAGCGATAGGGCATGATTGCTTCCGCTCGGTGCTTTTCATTATTTTTTTTTTTTTTTACTTTGGCAGCGAGGATTTTGAATCGAAAACATCACGTTTCTTTGATTTGATCGAAATTTGGGTTGGTGTTAGAAAGAAAATGAGTGCGATTGAAGAAGAGTTCAATGGGTTTTCCGATGAAGAAGTTGTGCCAGTAGTGAAAGTGGTTATTTCCCAAAAAGGAAAGCAGATGCTGAGTGTCAATGGATTTCTGTACAACGTAAACAAGGAGGTAATTCTTCTTATTAACTGATGGTTATAGTTTGTTTATCAAAACATTATTTTTAAATTAGGCTAAAGATCGCTTCTACTGGGACTGTGCCACCAGAAAACATGCCAAAAACAGTGACGAGGCCTGCAAAAGTCTTGCGATTACAAGATTACAAAATGGCGTCCACATTTTAGTTGTGCATAAGGAACTGCATAATCATGATGTTAACCCTTTGGACGGGATGGAGAAAAATTACAAAGCTGAACTAAAACGGAAAGCTCTAGAATCGAAGGAAGTTCCTTCGAAAATAATCCGTAAAGTTTCTACCCAATACGCACCTATCGTCCAAACCCGAGCATCAAACAAATTGCAAAAATTGTTGATTCTGAGGCAAAGGCAAGCAAGTGGTGGTGGACTACGTGTGATTGAACAGGATGGTGAATTTATCCTTCCAGAGGAACTTAAGAAAACGCTGGATGGTCAGCTTTTCTTGCATAAATACATCCGCAACGAAAGTACACATATTATGATTTTTACAACCTTACCAAACCTTCAGCGCTTGGCTGCCTCTCGGTTTTAGCTGGTTGATGGTACATTCGCAACCGTTCCTCTGGAATTCACACAAATGTACTCTATCCACGGATCCACTCCATATCAGAATCACGACGCAGTTGTGTACCCCTTGTATTTATGCTTCTGAAAAACAAAACACAAGAGACTTACACATGCGCATTTGAAGCATTACTGGAAGTATGTCAGGAAGCACAGATTGAACTACGTCCGAAGTTCATCATCTCTGATTTTGAGAAAGCAGTTATTAATGTAATGAAGGATATCTTTCCGGATGCAGAATGTTATTTGTGCTACTTTCACTTTGCACAAAATTTAATCAAACAGCTGAACTTCCGGGGACTGAAAACTATGTATTCCAATTGTATACATGGCTATTAAACGCCTACAGGTTAGTATTAAGTAATCGCTGGGTGAATGCAGATTAACGTTTTTGTTTTTTAGGCACTATCATTTCTACCGTTTTCAAGAATTGCAGGAGCATTCGAGTGCATCAAGGCCAATATGCCGGTAAAACTAGCTGGCTTCCTTGAATATTTCAATGTTACATACGTTTCAGGACGAAACAGCAACAATAGGCCGATGTTTCATCCTGCCCTCTGGTCGAATCACAAAGTGGTGAAGGAGCAACTGCCTTTAACGACCAATTCACTCGAAGCTTGGCATAGGCGCTGGACAGAGGTTGTTGGATGCAACCATTTATCAATTACCAGAATAATTCTGGAATTGCGAACCGAGCAGCAGGCAATTGAAGGACGGATTCTACGCATATTGCAAGGCGACGTTCAACAAGGATCACGAAACCATCTGGAAAAGATCAAAGAAATATGCTTGAAAAGTGACGATATCACCGATGTAGATACATCCGCGTAGTAAACCGATTGAATAAGTAAATCCGTTTCGAACGAAACATCTAAATTATGAAAGTTACGAAAACCGCGCGAATTCCGAAAGCCGTGCGAGACAACCGAAGCGAGAAAAAAAGGCTTATTATCATTTATAGAGTGCCATCAAAATAAATGTGATAGCCTATGTTGGCAAGTTGATTAATTTTGGTTTCCTCCCTAGATATTCTACTTATTTACTACTGAGCTTATCAAATTAGTTAATTTAAAGAACGTATCTTTTTTTTTTCCTTTGGTTTGTTTTTTCCGTCGATCTTGTTTTCCGTGCTGAGCACCAATGCTACCGACGTGCCAGGAAGGCAGCTCCCAAACCTGGACCCTACCTATCGACCCATCAACTCATGAACCGGGGACCAACGGCTTAACTTCCCATCCGAAGGAAGGCGTGATCAGAGATGTTATGCCTCAGAACATCCCGGCGGCGCCGACTAGGATTGAACCCAGGCCTGCTGGGGTGAGAGGTAATCACGCTTACCACTACACCACCGGCGCCGTTAAGAACGTATCAATCATTTCAAGATTTCGCGACCGTACCGAACAAATTATATACTACATAAGCTCAAAAGCGTTTGACAGGCTCTACCGAATTGCGTATCACTTCTGCATAAGCTCCGTAGACGTAGGCGCGTTAGTTAAACAAGCATCAATACCACATTAACAGATTAACATTGACTGCTGTTTGCAAATGTAAGTACTTGAACACTAAGAAATAACCGGATATATAAGAGATTTCGCGTATTGAGAGAATAATATAGTAATCGAGTACAACAAACTCAGGGAAATACAATGCCTCCAAAAGTTTAAAATTTATTAATTGTCACATACCTCTACTTTTACTTATTTCCTAAACTATTCCTCTTCTTGTTAATCTGCTTAATGCTATTGGTCTGCTTGCATTTTCTTATTAAAGTTCAAGACTAAATAAGAAGATTTATTCTACAACTTTAAAGGTTAGTTGCCTCCCTAAGTAGACCCCCCGCATCCTAATTCTTCTGTTAATCTACTTAATGTTATTAGACTTTCTGAAGTTTCTTATTTAAGTTCATTTGATGATTATGATATCTCATTAGTCTAGTTTAATAAATTATTAAAAGTTCTAATACACCTAATGAATCATAACCCATGCTTTATTAAGTACCTGCACTTGTGCTTGTAATCTAAAATTAAACGTGTTTCAAGTACTTTTGATTTTGGCCTATACCTATTTATTATATCTTAGTTCGACCCAGGAAACACCTTCATGTGACTAAAATGCTTCATTTTGAAGTTAGTTTCCTAGCTGATTTTTAAATTATATAGGGTATATGCTCCAACTATGCTCACACGCTTCCACTATGTCGCACCACAAAAATACGTATGGGTATGTCACAATAGAAGCACGCCACAGTGGAAATCCCGAGCCATAGTTCAAACACTTATCCCAAATCAAAATGAAGCACATATAAGATTAGTTACAATACCATGTACAAACATGATGTTTAACACTGTTTCCTGAGCAATACCTCAATGAAAACAACAATGGAAGCTTGTCACGCAAATAGAAGGAGCACCGTTGGGCACTTTCTGACATATATCAATAGTATAATTCCCTTGCAAACCCAAATAAATCTATCTGCGTAAAAATAAATAAAAATAAGAGTGATTTGCGGCAAAACCCGCCAGTATCATACCCAACGTCAGTGCCTATACGTAAGCGTACTACGACGCGGCTCTCAATT